TGGCGGGGCCTCTCTTGTCACTGTGTCCTTTGCCTCTCGAGGCTCCTAACAAGTGAGCACACTTTCCGACCCAAATCTGTGCCCGCACGCCTCACATGTGCCAGCTCCTCCTGGGACGGAGGACCTGTGGCCCTGATCTCGTGGACCCGGCGCTGGCAGCTGGCAGCTGTCAGCAGGTCCAGGGGTGTTTCTTTCTGGCAATGTGCTGTCACTTTCCATCGCTGGCTTTTATGAGAGAGAGCGGGGACCTGTGTTGGGTTGGCACCGCAGAGGGCAGGCCGGGGCGTTTGTGGTCTGCCTACCCTGGGTTCCCAGTCCCAGCTGCATGTACGTGGGCACCGGTGGGCCACCCTCAGAGCACCCCCTGTTCCCTGGGCTCGGAGCACGCGGGCCCCTTCTGCAAGTCGGGGCCAGACAGAGGCAGCGGGGCGCCTCAGGCGGGCTGGCTGTCCGTGCGGGCTTTGGAGACAGACAGACTTGGGGCCCGATGGGCTGAATGGCCTTGGGCAGGTGACCTTGGAGAGACTGCTGGGGGCAGCGGTCAAGAGCCTGTGCTGGGGCCAGCGTGCTGCCACTTACTCGTCCGTGGCCGCGGGCACTCGGTTTCCTAACTTTTCTACCCTTTCTTTCCACTTCTGTAACAGTAGCAGCTACCCGATAAGGCTGTCGCAAGGATTTGATTAAATGTGTGAATGTATTCAACACCCGGTGCAGAGCAAGCTTTTTTCTGTCTGCTGGTCACGGCGGTGACTCTGTCCCCCAGCAGGGCGGCCGCAGTCCCGCACAGGGCCTGCGCCTGCTGCACTCAGCTCCCGGGAGGGAGCCCTTAGGGTGTAATCATTATTCACAGTGTCCCTGAGCCCTGGGGCCGGCTCGGAGTCTGCTGGCTCCGCAAAGTGGGAATGTGTGGACGATTTCCCGGCGGGCCCGGGAGCCGCGGTGGAGCCGGGCCCTGCGCCTGCTGCCGGCTGACTCATCTCCCCCCTCCGCCTCCTCCCTGCCCACTTGGAATGCCATCACCTCGCCTGTGGTGAGCCGTCCTCGGCAGCGGCTGCCGGGAGGTGATGGATGGCCAGGGACTGCTTCCTCTCTCTGCTCGCTGGGCTCCACTCCCGCTGTACTCCGGTCCCGCCGAACTCCTGCGCTGGGGCCCCCACGCTTGTCGGGGCAGGGAAACAGGGTGTAAATTCAGACACTCCTATCTCATGAGCGTCTTAACCTCAGTTTTTACATCTGTGTGATGGGAACAAGTTGACCTCCTCGCCGATGGTTGTGGGTAACACCCCCACCTGGACAGTGGGCGCGTAGTAGGGGCTCAGTAGTTACCAGAACCCTCTCCTGACTGGAGATACCCGTGGCTGAGAGCCACGGGACGGCTTGGCTGTGTGTTCTCCAGACAGAACCGCAGGGTGTCCGTGCAAAGCGGAGGAACACCAGAGACCATCCTGTGCAACCCCCCTTCTCCCAGACGCGCAGATCCACTCTCCTCTTTGCCATTTGGGAAACCGAGGAGGAGCTGAAGTGTTTTTCCAGAGAAACTGCAGTGAATTCCTGCGTGTCCCCTGGGGCGGCAGCTTTGACCAGCCGGAGTCTGGCCTCCGTGGAAGGCTTCTTGGTGAAATGGAGCCCATCCTGTGGGAGGAGAGATCTTTCTTCTCTGCGGAAGTCTAGGATGTTCTACTTACCCAGAGACCGAGGGGAAGCGAGCGGCAGTGGGTGGCGAGGCATGAACTCCAGGAGAGTGGCGGGGTCTTTGTAGTCAGCCATGTTCTTTTCAGTCCCTTTCAGTGTTCTTGGGCTTTTGAGGAGGACAATCAATGAACTGGGCAGGAACTGACTGCGTGCACATTTTGGTTCCTGAGAACTTTCCCCTGTTCTTCATCCCAGAACTGCTGCTTCTGTTCATCCTGTGTGGTTGCCCAATACATCCATGTTTCTTGGGGTAGTGAAAGTAATGCAGTCTGTCAGCGGCCCCGTAACCAGAAAAGGAACGGGCCTGTTCTCACCTCCCTCGTGAATTATCCTCGGCATAATAATGAGGAGAAGCTGGCCCCCAAATCCTTCAGCCTGGCTTAACCCTGCCGCTCAGAAAAGACATGCCTGCAGGTCTGGAATACATGCAGCCACAAATAAAGAAAACCTACCTACAGTGGCTTGGACAAGCAGAAGTTCACTTTTCCTGTGCTCTTCACCTTGGCCAGGGGTTGGAGTCCTCTCCTCCATTCTCCTAGGCAGCCCCCTGCTCAGACATTGTGTGCAACATTTGAAGGAGGGAGAAGGGAAAATCAACTTGCCCAAACCATCTGCCTATCTATCCTCTTACATCGGGAAAAGCAAAAGTTTCTTAAGAAACCACCCCTCTCCCAATCAAAGCAAATCTCTGTTGTTGGTTTCCTTGTTCAGAACTGGGTCACGTGTTGCAAGGGAGGCTCCTAATTGGCTTAGACCAACCAGCCACAGCTTCTCTCCTTGGGCAGGAAACGCAGCCATTCTGAGCAAAGGTGATGCTCTTTTAGCCAGGAAGGCATGGGGAAATGATGTTTGGTTGACAACTGAAGGTGTCTATGGCCCCTCCACGGCAGGAAGCCGGGAGTTGGTGAGCTCTCCTCACTGGCTCATCAACGTGGTGGTGAGCCCATGCCTGGAAGGTCATCCAGTCCACCGTTCAGCACTTACTTCTCATTCAGGTGCCCCTGGCCATTTCTCTTCTGCATGAGCTCAAGACCTGCCCATGGCTGGGGTGTGAGGACAGTGTAGCTATAGGGTGGGACCGACATCCGGCCAGGTCTGCAGACATCCACGCACTGGGGAAACAGACGGGGCCTCAGCGTCTTCAGCGTGGCACCCTCAGCTCTATGACATGGGCGGGGAGGAGGGCCTCCCTACCCAGGGTGGGTGACTGAGAGCAAGGCCCTGGGTGGGGGGGTGGCACGAGGCTAAGAAGACTCTGAAAAGTTGCGAAAGGGAGCCGTGGAGCGAGGAGACGCGGAGATGTCCTGCAGCTCTGACCCTGTCCTGTGTTTACATGTTCCGAGTCTGCCACCACAGTCAGCCCGCCAGTGCCCTGAAGGCAGGGACAGTGACTTACCTTTTATCCCTTTTGCGTGTCCCCAGGACTCACTAGCTCAGTGCCTGGAACCTATCTGGAGGTCTATAAATATTTTTCTTTGAATAAAGGTGCTAATGCAGAAATAAATAGATCATCACCCTGACATGGACACATCTTGGCTGAAGGCTATACTTACGGGCTGAGAGGGGCTTTGGATGCTAACCTACCTCCCTGCCAAGCAGGTGCACCCAGGGCCCCCGCAGCTCTGGGGAGCTGGCTGGATAGGGTATTTTGGGAGCCACTTGTCCCGACTTAACTAAGTCAGCTATAAATTGCCCCTTAAACCTCTGTGAGCCTTAGTGATGTGCCCAAAAGGGACTGGCAGCTGGTTTGGGGAGGGATTCCTTAAAGCTGCCTGGGCAGGCTCTGACGTCTTTGAAGAGAGTCTCTATCTTTTCTGGGCCTGGGGTCTTCGGACTGCCCTTGCCCGTTGGGCTCAGGAATCAGGCAGCTCCCCCGGGATGTTGGCAGAGACCAGCCGGTGGCTCTGCCTGCCCTGAGCTCCAGCCGCCAGCCTCCCGGGGTTCGCTCACAATCAAGGCTAGAACCTCTGAGTCAACTCATTTTAAATGACGCACAATCCCCAGCCAGTCCCTCTGGCCAGCTGCCCGAGTCACAGTGATCGATGGTCACCCTGCAGCTGCTGCTGTCCCGGGAGGAGCCATCCAAATACCGCACAGTGCCTGCGCCCTCTCCAGTTGCTGGCCCTAGACAGGCAGCTCAGGGTTCCTTCCAAAATAGCCGCTTCCGTGGGCCTTGTCGGACCTCCTGGTGCCTTTCAGGATAAACATCAAAAATAGCACCTCCCACATTAGGAAGGGTCTCTTCTCACCCATTGCCCTCACGGCTGATGGCGAGGGGGCCCCACACCTGCCCCGCACTTGAACATTCACGCCCCAGGTTATCAAAAGAGGCCGTGGCACGCGGAGCTGGGGGGGCGGGTGTGCCCAGTGGCGTGCGGTTCTGGTATAATGCGGGTGGGCGGGTGCACGCTAGGTCGCCTCAGGTGTTGAGGGGCCTCCTCTCCTGTCCCAGTCCTGGCATGGGCGTGGTCTTGCCTGGTGCTCCCGGCAGCCCTGGGACCGCCCGGCGTGCGCTTCAGGAAGACGCCCACACCCAGACGCTCACCGCAGACCCGGAGATGCGGGGACTTGCTGCGCGACCCGCACGGGGCGCGGGACTTCCACGTTCAACGCGGGCGTTTGTTCTGGGGTGTTTAGGGCAACTGAGAGAGTCCTTTTTCCTGCCAACTTCTTTTTTTTTTCTTTAGAGTGAGTAATTGCCAGGCTGGTTAGGTAGATATTTATGGAATATCCTATAACGGAGCAAATATTTTTTCCGGCATGACTGACTGGTCCGCGTATGACCCGGCAGGGTGTGCGTTCTTCTGGCATTGTCCCTGATGCTCTTAGGCGGCCTAAGGGATACCTTCCTGGTGGGGCCCGTTTCGCTGATGTCCTGCTGACTTGGGACTTTCACGTATAAGTGTAGGCCTTTGTTCTGAGGCCCCCCCCGCCCCGCCGCCCCGTGTCTCTGTGTGTCTGGCTAAGCCTGACCGCTCCTTTCCACGGGGCCCCAAGCGTCACCTTTCCATGGGAGCCCCCCCCCCCACCGGCCTCCGCCAGCTGTGCCCTGAATCCCCCAGCGACCGTGCCCTCTTCTGTCACTTGTTACCCTGTTGACCACATGGGTTTGGTGTCTGGCTCCCTGTCACGGAGGACACCGAGCGCCTCCTGCTAGGGACAAGGCCTCGTTCCTATTTGCATTTGCTCTGGGCCCTGGCCACCCTACCAGCTATGAGACGGGGGGGCCCCTCTGAGGTCTTGCTCCGCAGGGTGACTGGGGGCCCCGTTGGCTCACCGGCCTCTCTCTCCCCTCTCGCTCTCCTCAGACGTGCTCTGCCCCAGCGTCCGCGTGGAAGGAGACCGCTTCAAGCACACCAACGGCGGGACCAGCGAGATCACAGGTGAGAGGGCGGCCCCCGCGGGCCTTCCGCAGCACTCGCTGGGCCGGAGCATGTCCTGCGTCCACCTTTGGGGCTCGGTGGTGACCCCGTAGGACTCACTGCAGGCTGCGCGGGCGTGAGGGAGGGGGCGAGGGGCTGGTGAACAGTAAGCGAATGATCGGCAGGACAAGCAAGAGGGTGAATCAGCAAAGGCGTCGGGAGTGAAGGAGAGAGTGAGTCAGCCATATAAATACACGGGTGAATCAACGGCTGAGCGAACAAAGGGACATGTGACTGCAGCTGCCCCTCAGAGGCTGCCTCTGTATGTGACGGGATGTACTGGGGCCACATGGGGGCGTGGCCCAGGTGGCTTCGCCATCATCAACCTGATAAGGACGAGCGTGGGTTTACTCCTCCCTGTGGCCTGGAGTCCTGCAAATCACTTCGGTGCCCGATCTCAGGGACGGTTCCTTCCACGGAATCCACGGTGTCGATCTGGATCCCTGAAGTGTCCCCTCCCCTCAGTGGGCTCTGAGTTCCCAGGATTCCTCACAGGGCCAGGTGGGAGGTGACCGGCCTGCCGGGCACCCACGCTGTGTGTGCAGCTCCGAGGCACAGAGCGCCCACGGGGCCCGACGCCTCCTGCCATCCCCCCCGGCCCGGGAAGGAGCCCTGGCCAGGAGGAGGCTGAAACAGGAGTTTCAGAGACACAGAGCCTCAGACCTGCCAACTGCAGCGCGGCCGGGTAACTGGAGAAGCTTTTCGGCTCTGGAAACACGCGGCTCCCCAAGCCTCACCTCCGGGTTTTTCCTTAAATGACTCTGGCTATTTTTAGACCTTATCTGGGCTGGAACAGCGAGGATGTGGAGAACAGATGAGGCCGTTTGGAGGCGGAGATCTTGCTTGGACTGGCCTGTGGCTCACCATCCGGGGGCCTGGGGTCAATCTCCTGACACCTCGGAGGCTCTGTTTCTCCGCCTGCGTAACTGTGGCCTGGACCCAGTGTCTCTGAAGACCGCTCTTGGCACTGATGGTGAACACGAGCCACTAAAGGTGTCCTACAGCTTTCCTGGGAAGTTAGCCATTTGGTGCTTGAAGACATGACAGGGACAGTGCGGCTCTGGAGCTTGGCCACAGGCCTCCCGGTTTCTCTCTCCCTCCACTCAGGCCGCCCTGTCCAGATAGCCCCCCGATCCCCCATAGTCAGCAGTCCCACGGCTTCTGCCCTCCCGCTCCCCGCCCAGCCCCGCCCTGCCAGGTCTTGTCCTCATGGGCTCCTGGGTCCTCCGTGCCCGGCTGCCAGAGTCACCTGCGCGGGTGGAAGCCAGGTTGCGTTTTGCCCTTGCTGTGAAGCCCTTCCACGGCTCCCCGGTGCCCACAGAAAGAAATTCAAATCCTCCCTCGTGGCTGGCAGGACCCAGCCTGACCTTCGAGCCAGTGTCCCCTCACCTAGTCAGAGCTGGCGTTCCCAGAAGGAACGTGGCCGACTCGGGTCCAGGGACCCTTGCACACGCAGCGACCGTGCAAGGCCTTTCCTCCTCCTCTGTCTTCCCGGATTTCATTTGTTCTTCAAATTCAGGCTGAGCCTTGCCTCTTCTGGGAAGCCCCCCACCCTGATTGCCCCTCGGGTTGGCAAGGAAAATATTCCCCGTGCTCCTCTGCAAGCCCAGCCGTGCCCCCTCCTTAGCGTGTAGCGCCTCTGCTCGTCCGTGTGTCTGTTTCCTGTCAGCCTCCGAACTTTGGGGGCTGGGATTTTGTCCCGTTCATTGTTGGAATGTGAGCAGCCGGGGAGCCCCGACTGTAGAGAAGGCCTCTGTGGCCTGGTCCATTCCTCCCTTCTCGCCTCGCCTCTCCACAAACAGCGCCACAGACAGGAACAGTGACAAAAGCGCCTGACTTTCTTTAGGATGGAACCCTGAACAAGACCAGGTCCCCTCCTCAAAGTGCTCACTGCCCTGTGGGGACAGCAGTTGTGTGTGCCTCGGCCGGGCCCCGCAGGGCCCTCATGCCTTAGGTGTCCGGCACAGCCTCGCCCGGTGCAGACCTCGGAGGGCGAGGAGAGAGCAGGCGCGGCTGGTGGACTCTGGGCTCACGGTGTCCCGCGACGCAGGCTGCGTCCGCTGTCTGACCTCAGGGAGCTGTGCCTCTCAAGTTTGGCACTAAACGATGGCTTTTTTATCTCACAGTGCCTTGCACCCGGTCCATTTACCTTGAGAACATTTTTCACTTTCCTTCCTGGCCTTTATTTATTTCAGGCAATTCATCTTTTCTCTCCGTGTCCTTTGCTGCCACCTAGTTAATTGCCTGTTGTTCAGAGTTTTTGATGTTTAAGTCTTTGTTTTTGTCCGTTGAAACCAATGAAAGGGGACCCAGAAAGTAGAGCGCACGTTTGCTTTTATAAAACTCCTGTTTCTGATTCTCCCACATATATAACTGCTGGAGGGAAACCCAGCTTAGGGTGGCGATTTCCGGGGACAGTTGACAAAGCTGTGAAGCGGAGGAACAGGCCTGCTGTTCTCGCCCCCGGTGAGCGCGGGGCGGCATCAGGGGAGCGTCCACCAGATGCTGAGCACAAGCCGACCCTCCGTGGGAGCCTCCGGGGACTGGGCCTCCGTGCACAAGGCTGCGACAGCCCCATGCAGCCGTTGCCTGCTCCGCACGGACTAGACACAGAGTTTGAGGGGCTGCGTCACCGCACCAGAGTCGTGGAGCTGCAGGGCCTAAGGAGAGGGACAGGACCGGGCCCCAGGCGTGTCTGGGTGACACACTCTCTCTCCTCCCTAAGTGAAATGCCCAGCTTCTCTGGAGCAGCCCTCAGGCCGCCCTCTCAGGCGGCGGCTGCTCCGAGCGTCACCCACCTGCGCCGGGCCGGTGGCGATGACAGGGCAGGCGCCTGTGAAGCACGGCTCCGCCCGTGGAGCGCGCCGCGTCCTCGAGGTGGCCAGCCTGCATGGCGCGCCCCGGTCTCTGTCATGGAGGAGCAAGGCCCGGGCGTGCCCACCGTGCCCCTCACCAGAGCCAAACGGCTCTCAGCCCCAGGACACACTGGCTCCCACACCTGCTCCCAGCAACTCCGCCGATTCCGGAACAGGATCCGAGCCCTAAGCAGCCTCTGCGCCCTTTACCGCTTGGCGTCCCTCCCGTGGAGCCTGGAACTGCGGGGCCCTGCGGGGCCCTCTCGGCCGGTCACCCCATTCCCGCCCGGGGCCACTTGCAGGTGCAGGGCCCTGGTGCACTCCGCAGCCCTCCGGTCTTCCTGCTTGCGGGTGGCCGCGTCAGCGCCCCCCGCGGGTCCTGGCTGGGGCCTTCTGTCTCCAGACGATGCTGCGAGGGCAGCCCGTGTGAGGAAAGGGTCCACTGGAGGCTCCCAGACACCCAGGCTCCCTGCCTCCATGTTGCCGCCAGGACAGCTTCCACTTGGCCAGCAGCCAGGACCTTCCCAGCGCCCACATTTCGGCGGGAAGCCCAGTGCCTGCATTTCCCAGCGCCCGTTTCCCGGGAGAGGAATTGGAAATGGAAGCTGAACCTCTCCTCACTTACTGGGGCTTAGATTTGCTCCTGAATATGCATTTGCACAGCACCGCCTGCTGACGCGCCCCCTCGGCTCCCCCAGGGCAGGTGGGGGGCCGCCTCTGCACAGAGGGGTGGGCTTCTCCTTTGTCCCCCTGCCCCCTCCCCACTCTCACTGCAGCTCTCGTCTTTGCCCAGGTTTTGACCTGATGGATCTGTTCAGCGTGCAGGAGACCTTGGGGAAGCGAGAGAACGGGGCGCAGAGCTCCTACGTCCGGATGGGCTCCTTCCCGGTGGTGCAGAGGACCGAGTGAGTGGCCGCCCCTCCTTCCAGACGTGGCCAGGACGCCTGGGGAGTCAGCCGCAGCTGCGCACTGAGCGCTCAGCAGGGCTCTCGCCTCCTCAGTGCCCGGGAAGGCCACCTGGGGATGACACCACGCAGCTGCTGACCTGGAACCTCAACCTGTTTCTTAGTAGACCTGTTACCATTGCCCTTAGTGGCTCCCTGGTCCTTCTGCAAATCTCTCCGTACGAGCTGGGCTCTAGTCCCTCATCCACGCATGCGGTTGTCTGTCGCACGTTAAATAGTGGACATTCGTGGTTATAGGTCCATAGCTGCGTTGCACCTGTGCAACGCAGGCAGGCAGAGCACCGCCCAGAGTCAGGCAGTTGCTTTGGCCAATAAGGACCTGGCTTCAACATGTGCTAGGTGCCTGGCCCTGCACGAGCTATCAGGAGGCCCGTGCCGCCGTGCTGTCACGTGGTTCGCCGGGGATGAGCGTCCCCGCCTGGCCACGCCGTTGGGAGGACCATGCTGTAGAGGCTTCTTCAGGGTCTCCAGCCAGCGGCCCATGGTGTTGCCGAAACGCGTTTGGACCGGCTCATCCTTCTCCACCTGAAACTCTTCCATTGTTTCCAGGTGTACAGGGCAGGGTAAAAGTAGGCTCACCGCAGTGCACGAAATGCAGTTTATTCTTGTATGTTAATCACTGTGTTATCTTCCAGGTTAACAATGGTGAACCTACTTTTGCCCACCCCTGCATTTAAGCGAAAGGCCTGCAAAAGCCTGTGTGTGACTAGGCCCCGTCCTACTGTTCTGGCCCCCAGCTTGTCCCCGCGCCCGCCCTTGGAGGGAGCCTGTCATGCACCCTCCTCACACCATTGTTCATGCGTGTCCCTTCACCTGGGACACCTGCTTGTCCTCCAGAGAGTGGCTCGACCCTGGTGCTTTCAGGTGCACCTTCCCCGGACCCCCGCGTCTCCTCTCCTCCCGGCCTGCTGTGTGGGCTGCGCACGCCACGCGGACCGGACCCTGTAGTCAGCGGTGCAGGTCGTCGTCCGCAGCCCGCGTCCCTGCGCGGCGAGAGGCTCCGCAGGGGGCACGGGAAGGGGGCCGAGGCGGGTCTCTGCCGTAGCCCTGCCCAGCTCTGCCCAGAGCAGGGGGCTGGTCAGCGCCGGTTGCATGGATGAGTGAATCGACCCGTCCACAGTCGGTGGAAACACTGTTAGATCCTAGCTGGGCAGAGGAGGGCTGGGAACAGCAGGCCCCAGGGCTATGCATGGTGCCGGGGTTCTGCGTGCACGCGATGGTTTTTCTGGTTCAGTGAGCAGTCTGCGTGCCGGCCGTGGACCTGGCGTGCGTCAGGCTCTGACGGGTGTCATCCAGGGCTCACGCCACCTGCACCCCCGAGAGGGATTGTGTGGAAGAGGAAATGCAACAAGCCACGTCCCCTCTCTGAATCTCCTCGGTCACCCATGGCTTGGGGACCAGGGCGCTCTCTGCCAGCTCGTGAGGGGGGTGTGCCTCCCCGATCCTGAGCATTGCTCTCGCGGTCCAGATGCTGTTGTGAGATGCTGGGACATGTCGCTCTCTGACCCCTGGTCCACGCTCACAAGGAGGAGCAGAGACTAAGCTCTGTTTCCCACTTCTCTCCCCTCTCCTCTTTGGCCTGATTCCTCCAACTCACCATCCTTCCTGCTTAGAACAGAAAATCACAGGCAGCTTCCCTTTAAAGCAAAAGTAGAGTAAGCACATGCCATGCGAGTGCGTGGAGAGGCCCCCCGCCCCACCGCCCCGTTTGCTGACGGCGTCGTCTTTCTGAGGAGGCTTTGGAGCAGGGGGCGAGGCGCGCCCCTCCGGCCGCTGCGTGCACGCGGGCTGTGTTCCGGGTGCTGGGTTTTGGCTGTTATCCTGAGTCATTCTGAGGAGGAATTTCTATGAGGTGTCAAATGTGTTTTAATGGCAAAACACCAAAAACAAAAATCAAACCAGCGAAGCCCTGACATTTCGAAAAGGAATAGTATCCCTTTAATTTCTTATGCTTTGAAATTTATGCACAGATACATACGCAGATGCAATTTTAATTTCAGGTTCATTTTGTTCATCATGAAAAGGGGTGTTGCTTTCAATATTTATGTTTTTCTCACTCATTTGACCTTTAAAGGGCGCTTTACTCCCCTGATCTAGTTTACTTCTCAGCGCAATAGAATGAGCTGAGCAAGGCAGGTGTGTGCTTCTCATTCACCTGGCGTGACATTCAAGACTCAAAATGGACAGGATCGTGTTCAGGCGTTCAGTTTGTAGGAAGCAGACGTTGGCCCCAGACTCAGGTCCTTCAATTCCAAACCCCTCACCTTTTCCACCATAGCCTCCTCATTAGCTACATTACTTGTGGGAAGGATTAGATTAGGCCATTCTGTTTCCTGTAGATGTTCTCTGTTAATGAGCTTTTTCCCCATCCTGATTGTAATAACTTTTTGTTTCCTCTTCTACACGCATACACACACACACACACACACACACACACACACACACACATATATACGCCTAAGCAAAAGTCTTAGTCCTCCTCTCTCTCTCTATAGATAAAAATATATAGATACAGACACATAGATGTAGTGTAGATACCAATAGGCATAAAAATATAGATGCAATAATATAGAGCACCTATCTTTATGTGTCTGTCTCTATATTTATACACATGTGTGTTATTTCAAGAGTATAAGAGGGAAGTGTGTTTAGAAAAAGCAATAGACTAGCTGGACTCCCGGATGAAAGCAGAGAGGAGGAAAGTGACCTGAAGCATCTGTGTGGCCACGGAGCCTGAGTCCGTGCAGACAGGAGGGCAGGTCCTGGGGTGGAAACCTAGGGCGCCGGGGGTCTGAGGCGGGCCGAGCTCCGCGCGACAGCTGTGCTGCCGGGGCAGGGTCCTGGATGAAATCCAGCCCGGACAACGACCTGGAACGAGGCAGCCAACCCCCAGCTTAGGTCTGTGAGCCGAGAACCAGAGAGGGAGGAGCAGACTTTGCCAAAGGCAGGGTCCCCGAGGGTCCGTGAGTCTGAGAATCAGGAACCCAGCCGCCCCCGCGTTTCCCTTCCTGGCGCTCTGGCCAGCCAGATGGCTGATGGAAGCCACAGCCGTGCGCATTCTGGCAGCTCCCTGCCCCCAGGTCGGCTGGGGGGAGGGGCAGAGCTGGGGGTCAGGAGCGCACTGGAGGCTAGGCCTCTCAGCGCGAGCCACGCCTGCCACTCACCGGCCCGGCTGCCTCAGCCGCAAAGAGATCAGAACCCCTCTTCACAGCTCCTTAGGAGGAACAACCTCCCTTCTGAATTTGGAGGGGAGCGGCAGGGAGCTGGGGAACTGCCCTGGGGTGGGGGGCTGGCTGCCATGCTCACGGGAACCCCGGGCTCTGTGGAGACAGAGGGAGGGTGTCCCGGTGCAGCGACAGGGGACCAGGCAGGACAGGGATGTCACAGGTGGGCCTTGCTACTGAGAAACAGCAGGGAGAGGCGAAGGCTTCACTACCTTTGACCCCGGGGAGTGGCAGTGTGGCATTTCTCATGGGTCCTGTCAGGGACAGAGATGCTGGAGAGATGGAAGCGACTGTGGGTGGATTTGCAGGGGCTGAGGGCAGGGCAAGGGGCCCCAGGGAGGTCGCCGAGGCCGCCTAGAGGCCCTGGAGGAAGGAGGGGCAGTGCAGGCAGGCGCGAAGGTGGGTTTGGGGATGCTTCAGGGGTGCTGTGGGTGGGTCTCAGGGACCCAGGTATGTGGGCTTCCATTTGCAGCTCTGCCGTCCTCACTGAGCCTGGTGTCCCCTGTCTGTCTCTGTCTCCCTCTAGGGACGTGTTCCCCCAAGGTCTGCCCGATGAGTATGCCTTCGTCACAACCTTCCGCTTACGGAAAGGCTCTCGGAAGGAAGACTGGTATATCTGGCAGGTCATCGACCAGTACGGCATCCCGCAGGTACGAGCCGGCCCCGGCCTTGTGGGCCCGCAGCTCCCTGCGTCCTCCTGGGAGGGCTGCCCGCGTCCCCCACATCCTCCCCGGGGCCTCAGGCCAGGCCCCGGAGCTCGAGAGGCAGGAGCCTGGGCCAGGGCGCCGGGGGGAGGGGGCGTCACACCGGCAGAGAGGGGTCAGGTGCTGGCGCTCTGGTGGGGCACAGACCTGTTCCTGTGTCAGGGACGCCGTGCCTGACCGGGGGTGGCAGCCCGCTGTGCTGGCTTATGGCACATGCCCTGCCGGCCGTGGGAGCGAGCTTCCTGGTGTAGTAGAAGAAGGTGCTCGAGGCCACCGAGATCAGGCGGTGTTCTCAGCTGTTAACCACAACGCAGGTTCTGCCAGGAATGGCTGGCGGAAGCACCTAGAACAGTGCCTGAGAGCCAATGGAGTTGTCACAGGTAGTGCCGCTCTTACGAGAGACCCTTCGGTCTCCCCCCACGGGGAGCCCTGAAGCCCCACCTCAGCCTGCGGAGCAGCGCGCGGCCGAGGGAGGGCCGACCTGCCTCAGCGCCAAAGCTCTTGGCGCGGGACGTTGGTTTGAGATGCTGGCGACCCCGCCTTTGTGCCGCCAAATCCCCGCGCCCCGTCTCCAGCATTCGGGGGCCAGCTATCTCTCTGTCTATGGTTTACCCTTGTTCTTCCTTGGAAAAGGAGCCACGTGAAGATGTGACTCACTGCGGCTGGGGGCGTAACTAACTCGGCAGCGCGCTCAGGCCCCTGCACGCGGCTGCTCTCGGGAGAACATGTTCTCCGGAGCTGGTTGGAGCTGGGCCCTGAGGCGGCGTGCGCGGGCTTGTGCACATGTGCGTGCACTTGCTGGGGCCTTGGTCCTGGGCGCTTCACGAATCTCAGCTCATGCAGCATCCTCACAGTCCTGTGAGCAGGCCTGGTGCTCCCCCCTCACCGAGGGGGGAGTGGAGCCACAGCGAGGTCTGGCTACAGGCCCGCGTTGTCGTAGGTGCGAAGGAGGGGCGGTGGGATCGGAACCCAGGCAGTCAAGCCCCAGTCCGGCTTCTGTCTGCCGAGGGCCGCTGGCTCCCGTCTCTGTCACTTAGTCCTGACGGACGCGTTTTCGGTCGCAGCCCTGGTCAGGACGAGTGACCTGGTTTCTGCAGTGTGGGAGGCTGCGTGGAGGACTTGCGACTCCTCCGGAGGCATTTCTGCAGAGCCGGCAGCTGGCTGTGGCCTCGCCCCCTCCGGCTGCGGGTCTGGCCGCTCTGTTTCCCAGGCCTGTAGGCCTGGGGCTGGGCGCCTGCCATGGCATTCTTGGGGGCCGGCCCGCGCCACCCCCCTCAGTCTGGCTCCTCGTCCTCCATGCTGCTGGCCGAGCTGGGCGGGCGCCCGTCCGCGGGCTGCGATGCTGCTGAGCCGCACAGAGGCTCGCTGGCCTTCGGGGACCTCGGGCTCGTTTTCAAAGAGGCACCTGGCAGGTCAACTCCATGACACAGGCCTTGGTGGCGTGCCCGTCCCTGGCGGTGAGGATGGGGCGTTAACCTCCACGCCCTGGGGACAACCTGGCCAGACGCAGGGAAAACGGAGCTGGATGGTGGTAACAGCTGTCCCATGCCCTGCGTCACGCCAGAGCTGTCCTCGGAGGGTTTCAGAGGGGTGACCTCATGTACTGTTTATGGTCACCCTTGAAAGCTGGCTTTTTCCTCGTTATCACTTGGAGAAACGAAGAGACGTTCGCTCATTCCTGACATCATTCAGGGACAGGAAGGAGGCTGGGTTGCCGGATGGCGTGCGGGGGCAGTTACAGGTGTGGCGTGCGTGTGGGAGGCCAGGTTTCAGGGCCTTGCGGCTGCGTGGAGGGACTTGTGCCTGAGAGCAGTCTCTGGGCGGGGGGCCGGCCCTGGAAGGGGGAGACCCTTACAGCCACCGAGGCCGGAGGTGACATCGCCTCCGACCAGGCAGTGCGAGCAGCTGTGGAGACGTAACGAGGTTCCAGGTGTATGTGGAACATAAAATTCCTGACTATGAATCCATTCAATCTCAGAATGACTCCGTGGTGCAGGCACTATGTCAGCTCTGTTTTTCAAAACGAGGAGCACGGACAGAGCAGTAGACAGCTTGCCCAGGCTCACACAGCCCCTCCGTACCTGGATTTTTGAAGACTGTTATCATAAAGTGGCTAGGCTTTCAGGACCTGAGGAGGTCAAGGGGCAGGGTTCAGGACAGCAACAGAGGACTTTGGGAGCAGAGGTGGCCTGGGCGGGGGGCGGGGGCAGGTGGCCGTGGAGAGGGTGATGCTGGGGTTGCGGAGGGCGGACGGGACAGGGGGAACACCGCCGTGGGGAACCACAGCCAGCCGGGCGGGTGGGGAGAAGCGGTACCCAGCCCCGTCTCAGCCCTCTCGCTCCCGGCTCTTTGATCTCCACTCCAGGGGGATTCCTGCCACATGAGCCAGAAGCCAAGGGGCAGGGGAGCCCAGGTGCGGGAGCCCTGAAGGCCAGACTCGGGGAGTCGGAGGCCAGCAGAGGAAGGTGGAGCGTGGGAATCAGGGCAAATGAAGGCTCGCCCGGGGAGACGGACCACGCACAGGCTCCTTCGTCCATTCGCCCAGGGAATCCTAACTTCCTGTGCGCTATGCCCCCGCCTTCACGTGCGGGCCGTGTTCCGATCTTACCCGCAGTTGCGTTTCTGACGCCTGGCACTCTGCTTGTGCGTCACAGGGGATGCTTGGTGAACATTGTGCGAGGAAGGAAAAATGAGCACATTGTTCCTTATAAGGACGACAAAAGTGAAGCTTGCTCCCAGAGTTTTCCAGGCGTTCTGCAAAGGGCAGGGAGCGCCAGTGAACAAAGCAGGCAAGGTCCCTGCCACTGAGGGGCTTGATTCTGCTGGACCTTCCACTTTATCCCCAAGGTGAGAGACTTGTCACTAAAGATCTGAGACTTGAGGATAAAGTCTCTCACCTGTGGGTGGATGGGTGGGTTTCAGACGTGGTCCTGGCCTCCAGCCGGAGAGGTTCTGTTTTGTCAGCGGGGGTTTTAAGCGACACTGGAACCAGTCGGGGTTTCCGGTGGGTCTTACCACCCAAGCCCCTCTGCACCAATTGTCTCATAGTCTCACGAAAATGCTTTTACCTGCCCTGGTCGGGTGGCTTTGTTGATTGGAAGCTGCGGGTTCGAATCCCGGTCTGGGTGCATACAGGAGGCATCCAATCCATTCTTCCCTCTCACAGCGATGTTTCTCCCTCTCCCTTCCTCGCTCTCTAAAAGCAATAAAGAAAATGTCCTTGAGTCAGGATTAAAAAAATTCAAAAACTAAAAAAGAAAGAAAAGAAAAGAAAGTGCTCTTACCTGCGGGTCCCCCCAGGCAGCTGGGCTGGGCTGGGAGGCCTGGGGTTGACGAGCGTGTGCAGTCTGTCCACGTAGCGCAGGGCTTGCACAGCCTGCCCGGGAGGCGTTATCAACGCGGTCGCCCGGGCGAGGAAGAGCGGCTGAGGCGCGCGAGGGGGCCTGCCCGCAGGCGGCCAGCCGGCGCGGGCCACAGCCAGGAGCCGCCCCGGTTTATCGGGTCCGACTCTGCAGCGCCCCTCCCCCTCCATGCCGCGCGGCTCAGGGGGCCCCCGGTCCTGCCCTCCCCAGGTCTCCATCCGGCTGGACGGCGAGAACAAGGCGGTCGAGTACAACGCCGTGGGGGCCGTGGAAGACGCCGTCAGGGTGGTCTTCCGCGGGGCCCGGGTCCACGACCTCTTTGACCGCGACTGGCACAAGATGGCCCTGAGCATCCAGGCCCAGAACGTGTCCCTGTACGTCGACTGTGCGCTGGTGCAGACGCTGCCCATCGAGGGGAGGGAGAACATCGACATCCAGGGCAAGACCGTGATCGGCAAGCGCCTCTACGACAGCGTGCCCATCGACGTGAGTACCACGGTCCCGGCCCCCCGGCCCCCCCCCCATATCGTTTACCGAGGCATCGCCTTGGACTGTCTTCGGAGAGAGGACCCCGACTCAGAGGACTGCCATACTGGAACCCAGAGTCACCCCCTCTCACTTACCCACCCACTCACCCCCACCCCCCCCACTCAGTTACTCAGCCATTCAGTCATCACCACACGCACAGTCATTGAGCACCTACTATGTGCCAGGCACTGTGCTCAGCCCTGGGTACACGGTACGTTCGCCTATGTATCTAGATATCTATGTCTACATCTGTATCTATATATTGATATCTATATATATCTCATTAAAAATACAGGACACTTTGTAGCCCTATTTATCTATCTATACATATAGCCCATGTGCATGCTAAGTACTTAATACTAGCAGATAGCACTGTTATCCTTTAGGCATACCGATACGGACTCAGATCATATACAGTTAACATGGCTGTTCATTTTCCTGATTCTTTGTGCACCTATGTTGGTTCAGGTACTAAAAATATAACCTAATTTGATGCTCGTAATGCCTTTGAAATTTCTAGACCATTTCTATGTTTTAAATAAGGAAGCCTTGTCTCTCTAAGGCTAAGTTAACTCACACAGTTAATACAGATTTTGTTTTTTTCTTTATCGAGGGGTAATCATAGAAGTAAAATGAACAGATTTTAAGCATATACTTTGATGAGTTGTGTCAAATGCATACACCTGTGTAAGCAAATATATATATATATATATATATATATTTATATACACACACATATATAGTTTTCAAAGTTGCCCAAAAGCACCCAGGAAGTGAGGGAGGAGAGGGGTTGCCACCCACCGCAGCGCCTCAGACCTGCACTCTCTGCATCCCCACCTGGTCCCTTGGGGGCACATCCCCAGTGTGGGGGGCTCTGTGTGGCGAGGCAGCCACTGTCGTCTGCCTCGGGAAGACAGGAGCCTGTGCTGGTGGCCGCTGTTTCTGGCTTGACCCTCACGTGGTCTGACGCATGGTAGGCTCTCCCCGACTTTAAGGTGCTTTCGGTCCCAGAGAGGAGAGGGGCCCACGCCGAGGTCATTTCAGCCTGTTGAATAAATGCCATGGCGGCAGGAAGCATCAGCCCCTGCCAGACCTGGGGGAGACGCCCGCCTTGGGTGAACAGGGCAGGTGACGGGGGGAGGGAGGAGGGGTGGGCAGGGATGGCTCCCTGGAGGAGGTGACTCCTGGGGTGAGTCTTGAAGGGTGGACAGACTGTGCCTGAGCAGAGGAGCCTGAGGCCTCGCGGCGTGGTGCGCGAGCCGGGTGAGGCGGCAGGAGCGTGGAGCGCAGCGTGCGGTGAGGCCGGGCGGACGGCAGGGGCAGGCCCACCCGCCCGCAGGCCTCGGGACGTGCATTCATTCCGCCTGGATGCTGAGGCTGTGGACATGAGCCAGGGCTCAGAGTGCTGTGTGGCCCGAGGGAGGTCAGGAGGTGGACTCCCAGCCTGGCCAGGGTGTCAGGCCATGGCTCGCAAGCCCTCTCACCCCACCTGGGAGCGCCTCTGCCCAGCCCCCGGCCCCTGCGCTCCTTGTCCTGGACCCTGAGCCTCTGCTGCTTTCTCCTCGTCCCTGCGTCCTGGAGATGGGCACAGCCACCGAGCGTGTGCGCTTGCTAACGCAGAGAGCAGGCCCTCTCTGCAGACAGGCCTTGTTCGGAAGCACGATTTTCCGTTCTGCCCTTGCTTCCGTCTGTGGGCGGGCATCTCCGCAGGGGATGAGACAGACAGCTGCTGGAATTGCTATGTGTCGGCCGAGCCGAATCAGTGGAGTTGCACCTGCAGGGGAGTCTCGTGACGCCGGAGGGATGAGCTGGGGCTGACCCCTGTCATGTCAGTTTGCCGAGCGACTCCTGAGTGCAGAGAGGGGGGAGGGGAGAGCGCAGGGCAGGGCAAGGCCAGGGCACTGCGGGTCAGCGGGCGCCGACAGAGGCTCCGGTTCCATCGCTAAACACTTGGCCGTGTGTGCGTCCATCCGTCCACCCAACCGCCGTTCCTGGGCTTGTATGGGTCCGGATGGCCCCAGTGCTGGGGACGCAGTGAGGGACAGAGCGAGGGCGAGGTAAGAGGGGTCAGCCTTGTGAAGAGCTGGCGGCGGGGAGCCTGCGGAAGCAGGGCTCAGCGCGTGGGAGGCCCGGGGGTCGGCTTGCAAGCCCCGAGGGAAGACGGACTCACGCACAGAGAATTAGCAGCATGTATAGGTGCTGGCGAGGATGCAGTGATCCCTCTTGGCAGTGGGAGGCACCTCAGTTCTCTGTCGCTGTGTCACCCGCAGCCCCTACTCCGAGAAAGAACGGATGGCCACAAGCACTTCCTGTCTCCTAGTTTCTATGGCCGGAACCTGGGAGGGGCTGTGCCTGGGGTTCCTGCTTGGCTCTCTCCTGAGGTCTCCCTCAAGCAGTTGGCTGTTTGAATGGGCAACTCTCAGCCCGAATGGGGCTGAAAGACCCAGCTCCCAGCTCACTCGGGGGCGGGGGACAGGGGGCAGCCTCCTCTGGGGCGTTGAACCGAGGGCCGCAGCTCCTGGCAGGTGGGCGCTGGAAGCAGCCCTGGCAAAGGCGTGGATGTGGGGATCTGTGTGGTCACACGTTGTGGAGTTGACAGGGCACAGTGAGGAGACCGACGCCCGGAGAGGCAGGTGGAGCCAGGTCCTACGAAGACCCGGGCCTTCCCTGTAGGCTCCGTGTGGTGTGTGTGCACGTGCGCGCATGTGTGTGTTTAACACCATGGCCCCTTTAAATAACATGAAGGGGTTGTGGTGTGAAAAGAGATGAGAGAAGCCAATTTTTATCTTAAGAAGTTCACCTAGACAACCGCAGGGGGCGCCCTGCCTTTCAGAGACTGCTGCGCGGCACAGGGCAGGGCCTTGAATCCGCGCTGCGCCCGCGCACCTCCTGCACCTGGGGGGCCCTGCAACTAGAGGGGACGTGCTCGTTCAGCTCGGTGGCCGGAGCGACGGGGCCGGACCGGGACGGCCTGAGGAGGAAGGGACCTGAGAGCGGCGCAGGGCCCGCCGGGAGCTGCGGAGGGTCCTGGGCCCCAGAGAGTCCCCCTCTGACCTGCTTCTCCCTTCAGTTCGACCTACAGCGGATTGTGATTTACTGCGACTCCCGCCACGCAGAGCTGGAGACCTGCTGTGACATCCCCACGGGTCCGGTGAGCGACGTTTCTCGCCCAGAGAGGCTGGGAGGAGACAGGTCCTTGGTCTCCAGAAGGGCAGGGGTGTCCAGGGCCCGGAGGGGCCGTGGGGCTCCGGGCATACCCGCCATCCCGAATGGCCCTGGGAGGGAGCCCGGTGATCGGTTCGGGGCCCGTTCCTGGTCCCGTAGGTGAGCAGCGACAGGCAGGTGCCCCAGGGCACACTGAGGCCACGAGCCCGTGAGGAGGCCCCGGCCCTGGGGGGCGGGAGGCAGAAGCCGGCAGCGTGTCCCCAGGAGGGGCCGACTGTCCTTGCCCTGGGTGGGAGCTCCAAGGAAGGGAGGCTGCCGTGCCCTGGGCTGGGTGGCCAGACAGGGACGGGGCAGGGCTTGGAAGTGGGGTACAGACCAGAGAGGGCCCTGGACCCCCCGGGTGGCCAGCCTCTCCCTGGGACCTGTCCCCTCCACCCCTCTTCAGGTGTCTCCCTCTCCCACCACTTTGCCAAACCGCAGCGCCAAGGCCGTGTGGAGGGTGGGAATAGGGGAGTCGGCTTCCCGGGGTCGCAGGGCCAACCCTCCGTGCCATGCTCGGATGGCCTGTCCCCAGGACGCAGCAAGTGCTGGGATTATGGTGTCCAGCACATGGCGCGAGGGCTGCCAGGCGGGGGCTGGAGCAGGCGGGCCTGAAGGTCGGGGGGAAGGGAGGAGGGGAGGGTAAGGAGTACATCTTTGGGAGCACCTACCCGGTGTGAGGCACTGAGCCATCCTGTTCAGTTCTCGTGATCGCAATGCCCTGCCCCTCCTGCAGAGGGCAGCACCAAGGCTCGGGGGGTCAGCGGTTCCTGGGTGCTGAGAGGCCAGGGAGGGGGCTGATGCCCAGGCCCCTCGGTCTCCAAGGCCTTGGAGCACCGGGACCCGCGGTCAAACATGCCTCGCCTGCCCCGCTCACGCCCAGGGCTCCTGGGGACCCCCGTTCCCCTGTGCCTGCTGGGTTCTGAGGATGCTGCCGACAGAGCCCCAGGACTGAAGGGGAGCGGTGCTGGGTGAGCTCCCGGGGCTGACCCGCTGGGCTTCCTTCCCTTCCAGTGCCAGGTGACCGTGCTGACAGAGCCCCCGTCCCCGCCGCTGCCGCCGCCCACCTCCGGCAGTGAGCACATCGGGTTCCTGAAGACCATCAACTGCTCCTGCCCAGCTGGAGAAAAGGTACCTCCGGCAGCCCACTCTCCACGCTCAGCCGGAGCCCAGAGCTGAGCGGGGCCGGCAGTGGAGGTGGGAATTTCCCATCATGCACTGCCCTTCCCCGGGACCGGATGCTCCCAGGCTCCCATGATACTCAGCTTGGGGAGGCGTTCTCGCTCCATGGACCTCTAATTTCTTGATTTTGTGGGCACTGGAAGGGGAGCTTTTCAGACCCAGCTCCAGTGTGCATCTCCCTGAGATAAGGCGGTCCTTCTGAGGTTTTTCTGGCCCCAACCTACATCCACTCCGCTCGCGTGCAAGGACCTCAAACAGGATTTGGCTTGGGAATGAGGTGCAGTGTGGCTCTGGATGGGCTTGCGCAGTGCTCTGTGGGACATGCCCCTCCTTCTTCCCAGTGCTGCCTTTAATGAGCCGTGCCCCATGACCTCAGCACAGCTGTGAGCAGATTTTTATGCATCTCGCTCTAATTTTAAGGACGAGTGTGTTTCCGCGCACAGCGCCATCGTCCATTACGCAGATGGAGTGTGGCGTCGAGTGCCCGAGCCCTCTGGCTGTTCCCTCCTCTGTGGACCAGCGGGCCTTTGATAAGGAAAACAAGTGTCCGCTGTTTGGGCAGAACAGACACAGATGAGTTCACTAGGATGAGCAAAGCAGAATTGTGCTGGAGAGGGTCTCCATGAAGGTCCCTGGACCCACAGCCCAGGGCCTTGACCTGCGTCCTGTGGTCAAGGCCACGGCTGAGCCAGCACCTCCTGGCTCCAGGCCAGCATGTGGCAGGGGCTCCGTCGCTTTGCGAGGGATGAGGGAGATGCAGGCAAAAGTATGAAATCGTGGATGAAGCTCCCTGGAGTGCACGTCCCTGATGGGTTTCAGTAACAGTCTTCTCTCCCTAAGCCCGTCCTGGCCGCAGCCCCTTCCCCCTTCTTCCCACCCAGAGAGCCAGATCCCGGGGCACAGGGAGCCCCCGGGAGCGCTGAGTCCGGCGGGGCTGATGACGGCCTGTCGGCTGCGAGCGGAGGCTTTCTCCGGGCCGCAGGTGAAGAGGAGGAGCCTGGGTCCGGGTGCCGCTGGTGCCTGGCGGGTGGGGAATGACGATGCACGGCAGGGAAGGGCGGGGGCACACGCTCCGTGCTGGGCGGTGGCCCCCAGCTCAGGGCGGCCGCAGACCACCTGGGGATCCGGCCCCACCTGCTCAGTGAACTGACAAAAGCAGCCGTGCGGACGGCCATCCTCTGGCCTCCTTGTTTGTGCCGAGAACCCGGGGCGGGGCGGCGGGGGGCAGGTGTTGTGAGGTTCAGGTCACCCGCCACTGTGTGTGCAGGCAGCCTGCGCCAAGGAGGGCGGCCAAACCCAGCTCCGCCCAGCACCGGGCTGTTCCCAGCGCCAGGCCTATGCGCTTGTGTGTCCTGCTGAGGCCCCGGTGGCCCCGGACATGGGCCCCAGGAGAGGAGTCTGGGGCCCAGCAGGCCCCCACCCTCGCTTTTCCACCCCCCCACTCCCAGCGCTCGGGCCCTCCCGGCCCCCACCCCCTCCTGGGTGTGGCTGATGGACACCCCGCTTCTCCCACCCTGCGTGGCCCGCGGTGGTCCCCAGCCGCCTTCCCAGCCTCAGCTCCTCCGCGTCCCCTCCCCGCCCCGTGCCAGGCAGGAGCTTCTCGTTCCTGGAGGGCCACGGTCCTTCTTGCCTCCTGCGCTTGCATTTGCAGCTGCTTCTGCCCGGAGCCTCTCCCCGCACGTCCCCTGCCTCCCTCCGGCTGACGCTGCTCGTCTTCCAGGAGGTCCCCAAGGCACTCCTCCCGAGCACGTGCCCTCTGTGTGGTCCCCCCGCCCTCTCCCTCCCTCCGGTCATTCACCACTCACCCGCTCAGTAACTCGTTATTAAGCACCTGCTGTTTCCAAGACCCCGTGGCCCTTTTCCCTGCCTGTGCTTCCATCTATCACGGCAATGGTCACGTCGCGTTAAAATGTCTGCTTGTCTTAACTGCCACAGAAGAGGTCCGGGCGGCGGGGATTGGATGTTGGCATGTCTGGACTTTGAGCTGGTGATAGACAGCTGGCACTAACTCATGGCTGAATGGCTGGATATGTGGACCAGAGTATGAAGGATGGATGGACGGACAGGCAGATGGACAGACGGATGGTTATGGATGGACAGACGGATGGGTGGGCGGGAAGGATAAAAGAACATACCCTCTCCTTCTCGCTGGAGGACAAGGTCTGGCTCTCCAAGATTATCGATCAGTTTACAGATCCTGAGCCTTGGCTGCTGGGAGGCCTCCCCCAACCAGCCATTCCTGTGTTCAGTTAACAGCACACTGTTTTTGACAGTACACAGCAGGCACTCACTGTGTGCCAAGTGCTGAGGTTTTAAGATACGTACGGACGTGGTCCTCAAAAGTCCTGCCGTCTCCTCTCGGCCTGGGGCACCGGCCGTGGGCGCTCTCCAGCTGGTGTGCGGCACAGCCTCCCGAGCGCAGGCCCGTGGGAAGGGGGTCTGCTCTCCCTCCCCCCGGAAGAGGCCCCGGGGAAGGGCTCCGACAGCCACCTCAGTGAATGGGTTCCCTCATCCCTGCGCCCTCATCTCCATTGAAAACCCAACGTGCGGGGAGGCAGCCTGCGCACTGTTTCCTGGGAGGCAGAGCTCCGGTCCCAGGCGGACTTGGTTTCCTATGGCGTAAATCTGCCTCTCGGTTTAGAGCAGATTTCCTTACTCACCGAGGTCCCCCTTTTTCCCATCCCCACGCCAGTCATCACGGTGAGCGTGGACCGCGTACAGGCCTTCCGGTGGGTTCCGCGTGAGGTTGAGCGCGCCACACCGCTCGGCTCCACCTGACCTGGGAATGGCGCCCGCGAGTGCGCGGCTGATGCACCCCTGAGGTAGTCGAGGGCAGGACGGTGACGAGAGTGCAGTCGTCTGTGCTGGCGGTGCGCGTGGGTCCGCGCTGCCGCGTCGCCGGGTGGCGTTTGCACACGCGCAGGGCTGTGCAGTGGGCCGCGTGCGCGGCTCGCTCACCCGCACCCACGCCCCACAGACCCCACCTGGCATCCAGCCGTGAGGCTTTCACACGCGTAGCACTTGCTTCAACAAGTGGCTAGTGCTTCCTGTTAGCAGGAGCCTCATGGAGAGGTCTGTTTTGTATTCCAGTGCATAAGTATGTGAACCTTCTGTAGGCCACGGGTTTTTGTTGAATAGAACAGGGGCACGTTTAGGCCGAAATCCCCCCGAGGGCGCCCTCTTGTCTGTCTCTGACGTGGTCCACTGACGTCTGCGATTGGAGGCCATGTTCAAGTTCCCCGGGTCACTCTGCAGTTCAAGGGCAGGGGCTGTGGCTCCAAGCAGCCTGCCCAGCCTGCTGGTCTGCAGGCTGCTCACAAAGGGGCTGGCCGATAGCGCACGGGCGGGGGAGCAGCTGGTGAAGGGAGACGGGGCGAAGGGAAACTGAGCCTCACTGGTTCCTTTGTCTTTTTTCCTTTAGGGTGAAAAGGGCGCTGGTGGCCCCGTGGGACTCCCCGGCCCGAAGGTCAGTCCTGGAGCTGGCAGGGGGGCTGGGGGAGCTGAGCAGCCCTCGGCGTCACTCCCTGTGTGAGAAAAAAAACGGGGTGGCTAGACCGCTGTCCTGTGGGACTTTGCCCCCGAGCTTGTGGGGACAGAAGGAGAAAGCCAAGCGACCAAAGTCAGCAGCTCGGGCACACTGTGCTCAGAACCTCCATCTCTCAGTCTGCAAATGTGAGCCAGGCAGGGTTAGGGACACAGCCCAGGCCTGGAGCCCATTTGGTCCACCGTCGGAGGGAAGGAGAGAGCACCGCCTCCGGGGTCCGTGGGCCCATGTGTGCAGCGCACTCATCTGAGGCGGTGGTCGGCCGACTGGCCGTCGGCTATGGTGGAGCAGGCCCAGGGGTGCGTGGGCGTAGAGCCTGACCCCTGACCCCGGGAGAGAGGGCAGGGGGGCAGGGGAGAAGGCGTTCCAAGCGGGGGCACTGCTGTAGCCCCTGCAGACATGCCTGCTCCCACAGCGCTGACCTGCAGCCCAGCCCTCTGCGTCCCCCACCAGGCCGTCCCAGCAGCTGCGGTGCAGACGCTGAGCGTGCAGCTGTGGTTCCCAGGGGCTCCGTGCACCTGGAGACGCGCGGGCCCCATCCACAGCCCTGGCCTGGTGTCTCCTGGGTGCCCAGGCCTGCTCTGGCCGTGGGAGCCTAGCAGTGAATGCGAGGGCCCTGTCCTCAGGGACAAGCCTGACAAACCTCCATGCGTACACTTTCTCACGACGTCCCCAGTATCTGCAATGACGAGGTCGGGAGACTGGTCGGACCTGTGCTCCTCGGGCGGGAAGTGTGGCCTCGCGTGCCGCTGACAGTGACAGAATCAGCGGCCCCCAGGGAGCTGGGGGAGGCGGGCGGTGGGTGGCCCACGTGGGGCACCCTGTCGGAGCACCTGCGTGATGTTCACCTCTGGCTTCAACTCCCCAGGGAGACGTGGGAGCCCCTGGGCCCTTTGGAACTCCTGGACCCAAGGGAGAGAAAGGCGACTCGGTGAGCAAAGGGCCCCTCTGCGCGGCTGGCGGGTGCTGGCCCCCAGCCCCACACCCTCACGGTGCGGGGCCGGCTCCTCTCCGGGGCCATGGGGCACATGGCCGTGGCCCCAGCCGGCTGCCTTGCCCCCGCCCTGCCGCACCGCACCCTGGCCCCCGGCATTCTGCCGTCCCAGGCCGGCCATCCCGGCTCTGTCTGCTGCGGGGCTCTCTCCTCTCCTGGGGGTGCCTGTCCTCCACCCGCCCACTGTTTCCCTCCCCGCCTGCCTCTGTCTGGCTCCTGCTTCCTCGTCGCTCCAGCCAGCCGCGTGCCATCCTCTGGGATGACTCCTGGCCCGGGGCTGGGCCGCCCCTGCCCCTGTGCTCCCGCATCGCCCCCACTTCTGTGGTCCCAGCTTCCGCTGACTCCCTGCTGCCCTGCCCCGTGGTTCGTCATCACGGCGTCCCCCCCGGCCTGGCCCAGCGCGGACTGTGTTCACCAACGCTCGGCCGACGAGTGAATGACATCAATGGTCGGGGGGAGTCACAGGGACCAGTAGGTCATGGTTCAGAGCAGGGTCTCAGGAGCCAAACGTCTGGGGGCGGGGATCCTGGCTCCACCAAGAGGCCTAGCGCCTCTGTCCTCAGTTGCCTTGTCTGTAGAGCGGGGACAGTAATGTTAGCTGTCTGGCGGCTAACTCTTGCTGCTGACGGGGGTGGTAACTGCTCGCTGTTCCATGGCTCCGCACGGGTCAAGGATGGAGGAGGGCGCGGAGGTCAAGCACAGGCTGCTGCGGCCGCTCTTCCCCGCCCGGCCCAGCTGGCACCATAGTATCAACGGCACAAGTTGGGTGTCAGAGGGACCCCGCTGTTGCCCCTGGCTCTGGCCTTACTTGCTCTGTGCTTGTCAGCAGGCCTCGTAACCTCTGAGTCATCTGTCCCCCGATGAATGACTAGGGAGAATGTGTGTTCCATGCACGCAGTGACAATTTCCTTCAATGAAGTGAAGTATCGCCGTGTGCTGCAACGCAGAAGAACCTTGAACACATTTTGCTAAGAACACACGGGTTCTGCCGCCAGCCCTAAAAGCCCACGTGTTCTGAGTCCATTGACGTGACACGTCTGGAATAGGGACGTCTGTAGAGGCAGAAAATCGATCAGCGTTTCCCTGGGGCAGGGGGATGGAATGTGACCGCTAAGCAGTGGAGAGTTCTTCTGGAGGCGGCGAGAACTTTCCGGAGTTAACTGTGGTGGTGGGGGTCGCACAACTCCGCGAATACTCCACTTGAAGTGGGTGAATTGCAGGGCATGTGGGTTATATCTGGATAAAGCTGGTAGGGAGGAAAAGACGAGTACCAGCGATTGGGCTGCTGGAAAATTTGAACCAGCTGGTGCTCACGAGAATCCGCACTCGGTGCATAATAGCGATCATGTTTTGGAGGCTCCGGGACAGAGCTGGCGAGAAGGCACCCACCCTTTCACAACCCCCCCACGCTGCCACCATGATGTCATGTCCTGGGGTGCCCTACCGCCAACCTTTGCTTCTTTCCGTTTCAGGGCCGAGGACCTTTTGTCTATGGGGAAAAGGGGGAAAAGGTAAGCCCCTCCCTTGTTGTCCTACCCTCAGGGCTGGGGAGCTGGGAGGGGCTAGAGGTCTCGGGCATGGGGGAGGTGCGCACCCTTGCCTTGCAGGTAAGTCTGAGTGAGGGGGCGGGGGCTCCTGGTCTGAGCAGGGGCCTCACTGTCCGGAAGCTGGGGACAAGGGGCGAGGCATGCCTGGAGGCAGTCAGTGTCAGGAGAGAGTGCGGAGCTGGGTCCCGAGCAGCGGGGAGGCGGAGGGCGCGCTCCCTCAGGAGGGCGCTGGGTCACGGTATCCAGGGCAGGGCCGCGAAGCGCGCTCCTGGGGTGTGGGATTCAGAGCAGCAGAGAGAGCGGGGCGGCAAGGAGGGCATTCGTCTGCGGTGGGCAGGGGCGGTGAAGGGTCGGTGCGCGGCCAGACACGCGGAGACTGCCTGACTAGCAGGCGCTGCCTAAGTGGGAGCGGGGCGGGGGAGACCGCAGGGATCTGGGGGCAGGCGGCGTTGGGGCAGAAGATTAAAAGGGAGGTGACGAGGGACAGAGCTGTGGCGGTGGCAGGGCTGGACAGGCAGAGGAGTGGAGGGGGCTCAGAGGGAGGCCTGCGAATGTTCTCCCCAGATAGGGGCGTTGTACCTTCTTTATCTTTATCATAATGCGTGCAGGCTCCACAGAGCCTGGGACGTAGGGGGTTCCTTCTGAAGAGGAAAGCTTCCTGAATGTGTTGCCTCTCAGGAGAAATGAAAAGCCATTTTCCACTCACACCAGCAATGAAAAATACACCTCTCACGTCCCTGCAGAGACAGCCGCAAAGCCTGCGATGCGTGTTTACGTTGACGGGGTCCCCGAGTCCAGGCGCCTGCCGGCCCTGGCTGCCGGGCCCTGAGGAGGTGCCGCGGCTCAGAGGGGCTCGCGTCAGCCCCTCGGAGAGGGACGCTGGTGTGAACCAGGGCCCTCCGTTACGTTACTGGGGAAGCAGCCTTTGCACGGCGGACCCATCCTCTCCCTGTAGGTTCCCTTTTATTCAGTGTGTTCACGTCCAGAGATTTCTTCTAAGGAGATAAACCAAGAGTAAGCATGAGCTCCTATCGGTGTGATTCCGTGGGCTTTGTAAGCAAGACTGGCAACAACTGTGATGCTCTGCAGAGGGCAAAGGGGAAAATAAGTTATTGTGAGCCAAACAGCACATGCCATTAGGGGACGCAAGACCACAGAAGGATCATGGAGGGCGTAGAAGATACCCACTGTGAAACGTCTATACAGCATGCCGCCAGTTGTGTGCGCGCGCGCACGTGTGTGCGAATGAGACAGAGAGAGAGAGAGAGAGAGAGAGAGAGAGAGAGAGAGACTGGAGGCAAAATCCCTTCATTAACCGCCAGTTTCCGTGGGTGGCGAAGCAGTGAGTGCATTCACGTTTTCTGTTGTTTTTCTTCCTGTCTTCGCTTACTCCACAAGAACTTCTCTTTATTCCGCCCCCGTGAAGAGCACCAGCCCCACCGCGACCACTGCACGAGAGTGCAGGGCGGTTGGAGAGAGCGGGACGCACTGCACCGTGTGGCCTTTCCTCCCGGCCAGCCTGGTCCCGTGACTCTGCCATGAGCTTGAGGGCCTGGGTCCCCGGATTCCTGGCGCAGGGCTGATGGCAGGCACCCTGGGCCTCCTGTGTGGTTCTGAAGCACAGCAGCTGGAACCTCGTGTTCACATTTGGCACCCGCCTTTATGGTGTCTGGCACCCTTGGTCCCTGGGGGCGCAGCGCCAGAGCACAGGTGTTAGCAGGGGCCCCCGAGGACCCTCGGTGTCAGGACTGGGGCAGCTGGAGCCCTTGAGGTCAGGCGCCCGGCCAGCACAGTGCTTGCTGGGCAGGGCCAGCCTGTCCTTTGATTGACAGGCTGGTGCCACCGGGCAGAAACGGACAGGCTTCTTGCCTCCTGTGAGCTACGGGCACGTCCCTGCCTCTCTGTCCCGACTCAACTTGGGCCGCGCAGCCCAGCGGCACCGCAGCCCTGCCCGTGGGGCTGAACCCGAGACCTGAAGCCACTGGGACGCGGCTGTAGCCAGGGGACCGCATGTCCAGTGCTGGCCGGGGAGGCGCAGCGGCCGGGCGGGCCCGGGTCCTCCTGCTCTGTCCTGGGTTGACATTCTCTGCAGTTGCTCATTTTTAGCCCAGTCTGAGTCTCGGTTCTGCCACACACGAGCTGTGTGATCCGGGGTGAGTCACCGCCCTCTCCGAGCCTCTGCCTTCTCATGTGTGAAAACGGGGGGAGGGACGAGGAGATGCGTCAGGGCTCAGGCTTCACCTGCCAAGGCGGGTCAGGGGGACCGGTCAGGCCCACGGAGGGGCAAAGGCCACTGGTGACGGAGGCGCATGAGTGGGGCTTAACGAGCTGGCCTCTTGGCTGGAATATTCTCTCCAAAGGGATTTGCAGAGCGGTGGGGGTGGGAGACTCAGTGACTGGAGGTCTGGCACCGAAGGGTCCGCACATCCTATGACTCCGATCCTGGCTGTGATCTTTTTTGTAATCGGTGTTGTAATTAACCATCGTGCATTGGCCCGTGCGAGGACCGGGCGCTGGGCGAGGTGTGACCTCCATCTTATGTCTCATCGCGGAGACAATGCTTTGGGGAAGGCGCTGCTACGCCCCCTTCGCCGATGAGGGGAACGTAGCTTAGGGGTCAAGTGGCCTGCCCAGGCCCTGCGGTTACTCAGATGGCTAGGAAACGCATCGCCGGTTATCACCGACATGGAGTTGTTCCTGAAATAAACTGATGGAGTCACCCTTCCCCGCAGCCGAGCAAACTGAGGCTCCGACGAGGTGACGGGGGACTTGGCCCCTGGCTCTGCCGCCCTGGGTGCTGCGCCGCCTGGGGCCGCCGCTCTCCTGCGGGGAAGATGGCCTCCGCTTGGTGCCTGCTCTGCCCCACATTCACCGCGGGGGTTGTGGGCCGCCCTCTCTCGTGCCTTCCCCTGTGTGAACTTAGGATCAGGAAGAGCTGCTCTCAGCCCTGGGACGGGGATGGGGCGAGGGGAGGGCATGGGAGGGGAGGGAGGGATGGAGGGAGGGAGGTCCCTCCTTCCAGGTGCCAGGGAGCCTCAGTTGGGCTTGTCAGATGAGCGAGGGGGTGGGTGTGCAGCCCTCCCTCACCCAGGACCGGGACTGGCTGGATTCAGTAGAGGGACCGCAGGCGTCCAGACACTGCTCCGGCTGGTTTGGAGTCATGCGAAGGGGCACGGTGTGGGGAGCGGGGAGCAGGCGGGGTGTGGGTGACCTCCGTGCCCTTCCTGCTCTTGACTATCCCATGATGAGATACTGCATGCACACAGTAAGGACATAGCTGGAGGTCTTTTGGGTGGGCGCTCGGTCGGTGATACTCCATGGACATGTGGTCTGCAGAGTCCACTGGTCTGTGAGCCCCACGGGTAGAAAAGGGTTTAGTAACAACAAAAACAAGGCCAAGGAGTGCAGCCTCCTTGTGGTGCAGCCCCAGGCTCTGTCTGCTCTGGGGGACCAGAGCCTTCCAGGGAGGAGCCGGCGGCCGCTGGACCCACAGCGCCCTCTGGTGTCGGGAAGCCAGAGTGCCGGCTCCCGTTCTCCAGGGCAGGCCCCCTGCGGGGGGCGGGGGGGGGGGGGCGGGGGGGGGGTGGGGGGTGGGGAGATCTCTGCCTATGCCCCTGGGGTCGGCCTCCTTTCCTGGCCTGGGGAGGAAGGAGGAAAATGTGGCCTTGGCTTTGTGTTCAGACGGGGCTTGGGTGATGGGGCCAGAGCAGGTTTGGGGAGTGCGGTGGACCTGGCTCGGATCACAGCTCCGCAGTGGCCAGACGAGCCTTGGTTTTGTCTCTCTGGGCCCCAGCGTCCTCTTCTGTGAAGCAGGGCCATGATGCCCACCCCTCGGGCCGTGGGGGGACAAATAGGGGGCTGATAATGCCCATGAAAGCACCTGTCCCTGCTGGCACAGGGTGGGCGCCCATAGAAACCCCTCCCTTGCCTTTGTCCCTGTCCTTTTCCTGCTAGAAGCTCTTGCCAAAATCCCTAAGAGTGACATGTGTTTCTTCGATACGTAGCATTTACAGGCCTAGTACCTGGGAGAGGGTGGCTGGCTCACAGAACTCTCTAGAACCTGAGTGGGGTCCCTCCAGGGCTCATTCACCAAGTCAGTGGAGGAGATAGGTGTGCAAATTCCGGGCATGTGGCCATCTTGTGAGAGTGTGATCCTTCTGACTGGTCCTCGAGCCACTCAGCTTGTGCTGCCTCTGTCTCCTGCGCTGTTACCCATCCAGAGGGTGACGCCTGCCAGGAGACCCTGCCTGGGCCACACGGTGTCAGGGACAGAGGAGCAGGCGGTGGTCTACCAGCAGAGCACTCGAAGGGTCCCCTAGGACCCTCGGCATTTACTGCTGGAGGCACTTAGAAAATGAGTCCCAGACATGCCAAGGGAACTGTCACAAGTCAGGTGAAGAGGAAAACGGAGGCAGAGCAACTGCAGCGGACTCCGTTCTGCGTGAGTCTCTTAGCCAATGCAGCACAGCAAGAAATGGGGCAACCCCGTGGGAGATCGCGTTGTGCCAGCCAGACAGACGCAGGTGGAAACGGGGAAGACTTTGTACCCTGGAGACGTGCACGCCGCGTCACGCGGACGGAGCAGCGGACCAGGAGCCGGGTGCGCTGGCTTGCAAAGGGATGTGTGCGCAGTGAAGACACCTGCACATCAGGCTAGTGGGATGGGGGATATTTTTGTACGCCGTTCATTGCTCCGCATGGTGCTGCTGCGTTAGTACGTCTTAATATTCCACCAGAGAACAGTTCTTAATATAATGAAAATCCTTTTAAATATAGTACACTCATAATTGTTCATGGGTGAGATCCGAAAGCAGTGTGGCTTTGGAGCGAGGAGTCCTCTCTCGCAGCGTGGGGCTTTGCCGGACGGTGTGACGGCTGGTGGGTCCCGGGACAGACCGTGGCAGTGGCTGAGGGCCGGGCTCTGGGAACCTGGCGTCGCCTGTCCTGCCACGTAACCTCGGAGA